AGGAAGGAAGGAATCTTGCTGAATTATGTGATTCTAATATTTTGTCTAGAAATTTTCTAGGATTTTCTATGTGGAAAAACTTGTATGCAAACACATTATAAAATTTGATTTTATGTAACATTGCAACCTTTTTAAAAATTATTCTTCAATGTGGAAAATCTCAAACACTAGAGACAGGAATCTGTCAATTGTCCTACAGAATTTTCCACACTGTGTTTCTGCTGATTGTATCTTCATGGCAATTTGTTTCTACAAACTGCCCACTGAATCTAGAAGCTTGATTAGGTGGTTTTTGCTTTTATGTTTCCAAAATTTTGCAAGAATACTTCAAGAGGCACATATTTCTAATTATCTTGATTTTAGAGATTTATCAGTGAGTTCAGGCTTTTTCCTTAAGTTTTAAACTTCTTCCCCTCATTTTATGGCAATGGCTAGGACAGCTACTACAGTATTGAAGGCACAGGCAAGAGCAAACATCTTTTTAACTTGTTCCCAACTTTAACGTGAAAGTTTTAAGTTTTACCATTAAGTAAGAATTTTTTCTTGATGAAAATTAAAGTTGCCTGTGCTGGCAGGTGTTGCTCAGTGGTTGGAGCATCTGCCTGCACACCGGAGTCTTGGGTTTGATTCCGGTCAAAGGCACGTACCCGCGTTGCAGGTTCAGTCCCAGCAAGGGCAAGTATGGGAGGCAATCGATTGATGTTTCTCTCTCACATCAATGTTTCTCACTCTCTCCCTCTCCCATCCCCTCTCTCTAAAATCAATAAAAAAACATACCCTCTAGCAAAAATTTTAAAAACAAGTTTTTATTTCCATATGAAGTATTCTACTTAAACACAGTGTCCAAGTCACATCAGGTGATTTCATCTTCTCACATTTCAAATGAAATGCTAACAGCCTAAACACCAGACACTCCATGTGAATGACAAGTAGCATGTTTCAGCAGACAAGTTTCTTTCCCAGCTATCAAATGTCAGAAGTTCACATTTTTCGTTTGTGATCCCAGAACCGGAAGCATTTTCATTTCATCCACTCTATTCTTATGGACTTGAAAAGCAGGTGTTATCCATCTACCACAGGAGCACTGTTCACCGTACCAATTGAAAGAACCCAACTTAGCACTGCATTTGGGGCACAGAAGCTGAAATAAAGCAAATGTGCTACTTCAGTCATTAGCTTTTATACAAAACAATTATCTATGGCCCCTAACTTCAAGAAGTTCACATCTAATCAGTAAGATAAAATGGGACAGCAATTTACTACAATAGCTGTGTTAAGAAGCACACTGTACCCTGGGAGGCTTGAGGAGGAACACACTAATTCCAGCATGAGAAGAGAAAGGTGAAGCTTGAGACATGAAACAGGTTTCATGGATGTGGCATATGTTTTGGCTTTTAAATCAGCTGCAACTTAAGATTTCAAGCTAAAATCATGACTAAAGGGTGGGGGAAAGCATATCAGGATTCTCATGTTCTATTACTAACTGAAACTAACAGTTAACTAGTTGGGCTTCAGATTCCTATTTAAAAACAAACTAATACTCCAGTAAAATAGGTAAATCTAAAAATGCTTAACAAGTCCACTGTATTTTCTTCTAATATATTTATAGCACTAAAAAGAATTAACTTAGACCAACAACCTCTCAGCCAAAAGTAGTTCACTATTTTTTATTTTTCCACTGTGCAACCAGCTTCCATGCTTACGGCCTACGGGCAGAGGCCAGACAATGGTTTGAGGCCACAGTTTGCTCTGGCACAGGGCACTAGGAGAGACCCAAGGGGAAGGGCCTGCCATAAATCCAAATTCATGCATGCATAGTGGTTCACTATTTTAGATCACCTAGTTTTTGTTTAATTTTTGATAGATTCTTATCTACACTAGAAAGATAAAATCTTCAGAAAGAAATTAGTTAAGATGGAATAAAACACTAGACAAAATATGGTTTAAAATGCAAGACAGAACAAAATATAGGTGATTTAATGAGACTAGAAAATAAAATGTGTCACCTGTCCATCCATCACTCCCAGCAAGGCAGGTTCCATCCACTGTACAGGTTCAATGAAATAGGACGTGCACTGAGCCCGACTCCCCATGACAGGCATGAGACATGGTGCCAGTCTCTTGTGGGCAAAGGCTATAGGACCACTTCCTTCATTATGATCCAATATGCTAGAACTTCTAAATAAAGACCGCCTGCAACCCCCCAAACAAACAAAAATATTAATGACTTCCAAAAAAATGAAAAAAAATAGCCCCAGCTGGTGTGGTTCGGTGGTTAGAGCATCCGCCCTGCACTGAAGGGTCTCAGGTTCAATTCCCCGTCAAGGGCACGTACCTGGGTTGCAGGTTCAATCCCTGGCCCCTGTCAGGGCTCATGTGGGAGGCAACCAATCAGTGTGTCTCCCTCACATCGATGTTTCTCGCTCGCTCTCTCCCCAACCATCTCTCCCTTCCACTCTCTCTAAAAAGCAATGCAAAGAATATCCTCAGGTGAGAGGCAAAAAAAGAAAACAGAAAAAAATAGATGAAATGTGCAGTATTTCTTAAAGGGCAAAATAATATAGCACTGATTATGCTACTTTAATTTTCAATAGTCTCTACAAGTAACCTAATTGCTTTTACTACTAAGAATTTACATTCTTGAAAGCAGATTTGAATTCAAAATTTCTGTAGTCAACCAAATCAAATTCTCCCTACAGAGATTTAAGAAACTGAAATTTCCAGTGGTTTTCAGCTGCTGAGACAAGATAAAATCTCTAGAAAATAGAAAATATTTTACCTGCACTTTCTACATTTGTAAAGAACCTCATCTTTCAATTCCTGTGAAACCATGGTTGGATCAACAGCAAAGAGTTCTTGAGGTAAGTTCTGCAGTTCTACATGACAAGGAAAATGTATCCATTGGTTGAAATCAACTCTCTGCATTTTCAGACAAAATTCAGTTAATGTCAAATTGAGGCAACAGGAAGGAAGGAAGGTAGGAAGGGAGGGGAAGAGGGGAAGGAGGGGAAGAGGGGAAGAGGGGAAGAGAGGAAGAAAGGAAGAAAGGAAGAAAGGAGGCCCAGAAGCCACAAGAATGAGGGATACAGCGTGAGCCGTGGGAGGACGGGACTGGCGTCCCTCTAGGGTGGCAAAGCCGATGTGCCCTAATGAGAACCATCATGAGCTGTTTTCTTCCCACGCTCTCCCACGACGCTGCGCTCTCCACAGAAACTCCTCACAAAGAGAATGGAAAATTTTTAGCTGGAAGAATGTGGGTTTTCATCTGCCTGAAGGAAAGCGCTCAGGCCGCCGGGACTCTGCACGCCTGCTTTTCCACAACCACGCGCTGCAGAGTCAGTGGAGAGCCGTTGTTTCTGCCCGACTGGTTCCGCTTTGCTCCGCCGCTGGGAGTTTTGCTGGAGCTACGGGTCCTGCTTCGGAATTCCCCAGCCCAAAGGCCAGAGCTGGGCGTGTGACCCAGGCCTAGCTAGTACACGTGTTCTGTCTTGGGATTCTTTTTGTTTGTTTATTTTGTGTTGTGTTGGTTTTGTTTGTTTTTTTAATTAAATTTATTTTAACTTTTCCATCTCCATTTATCCCTCTATGCCCTCTTCTAGAAGAAGCTTTGTAGTTTTGGTCACAGAGCTGGAAAGGTGAGACTTGAGAGAGACTGCTAGTTACTATCATCACCATGGAG